GAGGGGAAGCTGCTGGGCTCTTCTCCCTGGAAGGTGGGAACAGAATGCCTGAGAATGGCTCAAAGCTTTTCCAGGGGACATTCAGACTAGACATTGTTAAGGAAGCATTTCTTTACCAAGAGAGTGGTGAAACACTGCAACCAGCTTCCTAAAAGATGGTTGATGCCCAGGTATGTCGGTGTTAAGAGGCGCTTGGATTGTGCCATTAATACTATATTTTAACAATGTTTCAGCCCTGAAGTGGTAAGGCAATTGAACTAGATGATCAGTGTTGATCCTTTCCAAATGAACTATTCTAGTCTAGTCTAGTCCTGATGCTATTACACATTAGCTAGGGAAGAGGTCCAAGCATCTCAACTCGGTGATACTAAGGTTTTTCAAAAGGGAGTAAGTGCATTCACTTATTATTAATCATAAATGCCATTCCCAGTATATCACCCTGATTTTTTTTCTGGTTTTTTTTTTTTTTTTTTTTTTTTTTTTGCTTATGACTCACCCTAAAGTTAATTGCTTGGTCTAGCCTGGAGGAAGTACTAGCTTGAAATTCAACAAAAATCTAGCATGGAACAGAAGCATTGCTGTAAGTCAGAGTAACTTGGTAGAAGTATTGCCACTGCTTCCTCTCAAATCCCTGCTAAAATTTCTTGAGAACTTTACATCTCCAGGAATTCTATCATCTGCTAGTTTTTTAACTATTAAAAGTTTTAGCACTTCCTGTGTAAGGAAGAACATGCATGTTCAGGTGACATACTAGAATTTTTCTATTTTGAGAGAGTTTAAAACTCTGGTCTGTGGAGAAAAGCAATTATAAGAGTTATTGTTACCAACTGAGGTAGAATACAGATAGAATTCGGATACATTATTGCAACTCCTCTGTACAAATATAGTGCAAGAGAGTGTTTTACTGTTTCAAGTCAAGTGGTAAAGAGAGCAAAAAAAGAGAAATACATAGCTGTCTTGCCTGAACTTATCACCATGGCAAATGACAAGTGGAACTGGTAATAAACCCGTGCTTTCTGCTCTCAGCCACATGTCGTGATCAGTAGGTCTTGTAGCCTCCCATCCCAAAAGAATCACTAGAAAAGGAGAGAAGGCAAAGATGAAGCAGAGGGCAAGTTAGGAGAAAAACACACATACTTCTGCCCTGTTTAGCCTATTTGCCAAAGGAAAGGAGGCTTATAAATCAGTTGTATGTGGTTCTGTGCTCCTCAGTGATACTTTAACGTTTTCATTAAGTATAGGAAAGCAGCAGGAGGTCTCAGCATTAGAACTTTTTAACAGTCTTGTAAAGACTGGTGAGAGAAGTAACTATTTCTCTAATGCACCAATTTTCTTCTTAATAGATGCCAAGTAAATCATGCAACCAGGAGAACAACTTCTACTGTAGCTTGCTTGCATTGCAGATCACTGAGAATCCACCCAAAAGACAATACAAGAGAAAATGAGATCTACTCACTTCCCTGCTTATGGGAATGTTTATTTTATTGTGCTAAGTAGAAGAAATTATAAGAATTCCTCAATCCACTAAACATCTGTTCACTGAAATGCATAAATAACATGAACCAAGCAAATTACAGAGCCTAGCTTTTTAGAAGACTACCACGTTTATCTAGCAGGTGAATTTTTTTTTTTTTAAGAAAATAAGGTCAGAACTATAATTGGCTTTGGGATGAGCAAAGAGAATATCTGTTAGGAAAGCAGAATGTGAAAAGCTGAAATAAGTTAGAGTGACAACATAATATTTTGATCATTCAAATAGAAACATGAAAGCCTTTTCAGTCCTATTGGAGTAAGCTACATTACATTGAAATCCTAGCACTGGGAAAAAATTGTGACACATTTTAAAATTCTATGCAGACTACTCTAAGTACTCAATAACTGTTCAGTATAACTTCACAGTAAGGTCAAAATGAGAAGGGCTTCAAAAAGAGGGGGGGATGACCCAGTACAGTTTTTGTCATCAGGGAAGTTTGTGACAACTTCAGGACAAGACAGAGATGGCTGGATAAAAATGAAATGAAATCTCTCAATACAGTCTTGAATTCGGCTATCTTTTCACCTATCTATGCACTTCACAGCATTGAGACCTCTTTCCTAATCAGACAGATTACCATTTTGATGTTGTAAAAACTGAATTCTACTACTTCAAACTTGGACTGGATATATCATATTGACTCTTTGGGGTTGCTTTTAAAATTCTTTTTCCCTGGATTTTGCAGAGGCAGAAATAATGTTTAATTCTTAAACCTTCTCTACAATATTTTATTAACTTAATGGTTGGACTCACTGTGCACATTTGCAAAATTATAATTGTAATCAATTTAAGTGGCTAATCATGTACTTTAGAAGTTTACACTAAACAGTCCTGTTACAGGGATAGCAGTTTCTGTTACTGCTATGTAAATCCTAACTATATTTCAAAGCTAATTCTTAGTACTTGGTGTTTTGAAATGCTTTAAAAATTACATTATAAACAAGTTCCTATTAAAATAGAACTATTAGTCATTAAGAATAGGGCATTCTATAATATATAAGGGTAACTGGACTTCTGTGACATGCATGGTGATCGAATTTTTTAATTGCATGATAACAGGATGATTTTCCATAGGACTTGCACCTTGTTCAGTGTGCCAGTATTCACCTAATGAGCTGCTAAGCAGCACTTTGTCCATTCTTTCTAAATGCTGTCTCTTAATCCAGCAAAATCTATTCCTTCTCCCTCCTCATTATTTTTTTATCAAGTCTTATTGTGTGCTGACAAGTAACAGTTTCCCCAGTTAGTTCCCATCCTCATATCTTACCTATCTTTTACCTACTCTTAAATTTATTCCCTTCCATAGAAGCTGAGGCTTGTTCAGCCTATCCTAGCCGTAACCTTATGAGAGGTTTTCCTGAGCATTCTTCTCTTTTCTGTGAGCTTTCTTCCTTCTATACTCATGTCACATGATCTTTTCTTCCATTTGTACTGGAAGCCAATGGGAGACCTACTTCCCAGGTTCTTCTTGTGACTTTTCCCTACAGGTTATGGAGAAAGTAAAAACAGTCAGTACAAAGGCACAGATGTACATGCAATTGAGTCACACAAGGGAACCATAAAATTTACAGCCTGTTCAACCATGAACATTAGAAAAATTGCAAAAGTGCATGTGCAAACAAGTGTTAGCATAGGGGTGGATGCTGCACTTCTCTGTCACACTATCAAGCTGAACACTGGCAATCCTAGGGATTTTTTTCTGATTGTTTAATGTGGAAACCAGAAGGAATTATGCTCTTTTGCTCCACTCTAACATAACACAAAGCAAGCAAGGGAAAGGGGGAGGGCAGTCACCAACAGTGGCTATTCTATTGTTTTCTCTCAAAACTTGGCAAAGCAACAAGCTAGACACAGCTGAAATGTGCTGGCTAAAAACTTCTCAAAACTTTCATCTGAGACAGACACAAACCATGCCTAAAACCATCATAGGGAAAGTTTGTCAAAGCCAAAGATACCTGAAAACAGGGTTGCATAAAAAAAAATATTAGTAATCCCTGTACATGTACAACATTACTAGCATTGCCTAAAATTCTGATTCACATGCTTTTATGCATACGATGCATGAATTACAAATTAATGGTACACTCTAAATGCATATTTTGGTTTGGGGTTGTTATTTTGTGTTTGGTCAAGGAACGCTTCCTTGATTTTGGTATTTTTAGAAGTACATAATTTGATTTCAAAACAGGTCTACAAAAATTGTCTCAGCTCAAATATGATCTCCCATACTGGGGAAATTAGGAGTTGGAGGGCTCTTTGTTCGTGAGTTTGCATTTGAGATTTTTATTTTTTTTAAATCCGTTCATGGCTTATTTGCCATTTCGAGTCAGAAAGAAACCCCCTTACTAACAGACTTCCCTCCATTTATCGTGATCAAAAAGCAGTCATATTTCCTTGTCTTGAGGAAGGTAACAGACCACAGGAAACGATCTGGGCATCCTGGGGAACACGAAATTAAACACGAGCCTAAATGTGCCCTTCCTGAAAAGGTGAGTGGTAACCCGGGTTGCACGAGGCAGATGGAGGGGATCCCTGCCCTCTGCTCAGCACTGCTGAGGCCACACCTGCAGGGCTGTGCGGAGTTCTGGGCTCTCCGGTTCGGAAGACATGAACACACTGCACGGAGGGCAACAAAGGGCCACAAGGATGATGAAGAGACAAGAAACCATCTCTCCTAGGCGGAAAGGCTGAGAGAGCTGAAACCGTTCAGCCTTGGAGAAGAGGCAGCTCGGCGGATCCCATCCACCTGTACTAACACCTGCAGTGCCAAGGGGACTCTTCCCAGCACTTTTAGTCCTTCCCCCAGGGCTTAGCGGCCACAGAAGCATCGCTCCTCCTGTGTACCACCGCCGCTCCCGGCCTGAGCCACAGCACCCTGACACGGTGGTTCCCTCTATTCGCGCAGCGGAGTATTTCCATCATTTTCCAGCTCCGCTTTACCCGAGA